CAGAGAGACAGGCAGACAGACAAAGACACAGACAGACACACATACACCCACTCCCACCATGCAGTAGGATATTTGCATTTGATTCCTATCATGTTGCCACCGTAAGTTGGTGTGATCAGTTTATCATGTTATGAAAACGTATTTATATAAATAATTTCATAGAAGTAGATGTTAGAGCACGCGAACAAAATTCAATTTTAAAACGATCAATTATTTATAACAGCAAATGGAGGTCTCTGTTTCTACAGAAGACCAGTTACTTTCAGAACGGAAGCTTGAAGGAATGACTCAGAAGGCTAGCTCACTGTTGTGAGAGGAGGAAAGAGGAGCCGTATGACTCGACAGTGACATATGATAAGACGATAATAAAGTGCAAACACGTCTTCAAGCACTTACGACAAGACCTCTAACTGAAGTGAATGAAGTCACGTCCTTCGACCCAGCCCGATTCAGCTACCAAACGTTCTAGGTCACCTCCTGTCATATCCAATTTGACGCAGATCACCAACGGAGGGCAAGCATCCCTTAACGATTGACAACGCATTTCGAACAATCTTCCATGAGTGACAAATAAGTTCTAAGCACAAAATTAGCGACAGTGGCGGAGAGGACGGCACAGATGGCTTAGGAGCGGAGACAAAGCGGTTACTTGACCAAACTCTTACTACGCGAACAAACGCTGTCAACGAAGCGGTATCAAGACAGAAAAACGATGGAATACCGTAACTCACAATGATCGCGCTGTAATTGGCTCTCGCTGCCAATACCCGCACCAGCTGCTCCACCGCGTCTCCCAATGTGGCGCTTCATCTGGTACCTTAGTGGGGTCCATGGAGACGAACCCACCGCCATGGCACCGCGACGTTGCGGTGGTGATTGCACGCCGCGTTCCCTCATTGTCGAAGAGTGATGGCTGCCACACAGGGTCAGAAAATCTTGTTAGGATCCATTTATAGGCTCAGCATAACCTCGAATATATCATTCACATTCATGTCCTTTCTAACCATAAGCGCCAACCATGCAGACACCACAAGATGTTTAAGACCAAAGAAGGGCACTATTTCCAAGGCAAAGGTGTTTAAAGGCAAAGGTCGGGATTAGTTGACCAAACCAACCCTTTCGGTCATCTCTGTACTTGGTTACGCACCCGTAGAGATGTTCCCACGCTCAAAATCTCGAACGGCGCGGTAATAAGGCCCCAGGGCCGCTACGACCGCCCACCTTGGGATGTGGTGCGTGGCTGGCATAACGTGTGAAATCAGCTAGGTTGATTGCCGTATCAACCGATAGAACGACTGATATCTTT